AATTTTAATGAATTTACTATCATTAGAATCAGAAAAACATATTCTACAATTTTTAATTAATATTTAAAAGCTGTTTATTTAAGAAAATATTTCTTTTTTATTTTTAATTAAATAAAAATTTACTAAAAGTTTTATATATAATTTGAAAATCGTATACCCTACTCTTAAATAACCTGTAACCTTCAGATAAGTATGACTACTTTTTTTTTTGCACTAAATTTTTTGCTTAGGACACTTAATAACTAACTTTTTTTTACCCTCTTTATGAAAAAACTTTATAAATTTTAAGGTAATAATATGTCATTATTTTATTTTATCTTATACTTGCAATTCAGATATTGGTATGTGACTTTACTAATATCAAATGCATAATTTTGTAATTGACATGTAAATGTATTATTCTATTTCAATTCTACTAACTATTTTTGATTCTCATGTGTATTTCTTGCATAAATTAACTGCCATAGCCAATATATATAAAAAGCTACTTAAAATAAAGATAATTGTTAAATATGAAGTCAGGTAGTTTTATTAATTGGCAAATAAGTAAATTTAAAAAACTGTCACAATGTAGTACAAAGTACTACTAGTAGTATAGTGAAATTATATCCATTAATAAAAACTTATAAATATTTTTTAAAAGAATTTGTAAATAAATTAAATAATAAATATATATAAAAAAATATATGTACTAACCAGACTACTAAAATTTATTAAAAAAAAAGATACAAAAAATATATTAAAGATCTGATTACAAGTTTATTAATCTATTTGAATTAATAATTTAAAATAGTTAATTAATACTAAATAAAAAAACTTAATAGAAAATAATAAAAAAATATTAGAAAAATATTTATTAAAATTTAGATAAACTTCATAAAAATATAAATAATATAATATGATAGTTTGATGAAATGAGTTATGAAAGTGAAAACCTGAAAATGATTTAATGATTTACTATAATCAGTTTTTAGGTTTTCACTCTCATGCACTTAAATATCTATCACTTAAATTGTAATACAAGCAAATTTGCTTGCATTAATTTTTTTAAAATTAATTTTTATAATAAAATTTTAATAACTAATTTTAGTAATATACTTTCTAAGCAAAAAATATTTTTAAAAATCTAATTTATAAACTTTGTTATGAAACTTTTTTAATTTTATTAAAAAACTTTTTTAATTTTATTAAAAAACTTTTAAGTAATTAAAGTTTAAAGGTTGTATAACATTATGATTTACTATTAAAATATTTTTCAGGTTTTCTAAAATTCTATATATTTCTGAAGCTAAAAAAATTTTTTGTACTTAAAACAAATATTAATTTTTATATATAAATTACTAAACATATAATAATTAAAATTATAATCTTTGATATAAACTAAAAAATTGTATTAAAAATTAAAAAGTTGTATTAAAAACTATAAGTTTAAAATTAATATTTAAAAAGTTTATCATATATAAACTAAAAAATTTTTTTTAAAAAAATTTTTTTTGAAATTGTATATTTTTAATCTATAAGTAATCTAATTTTTTTTTCTTATACTTTAAAAATGAATACTGCAAAAAAGTAATTCTTATTTTTAAATATTATTATACTAAATTTTATTTAAATATTTTATTATTTAAAAAAAGTAGATTAAAGTTAAAAAAAAATATAAAAATACAGTCAAATTTGTTTGTTTTAGCTTATAATTTAAAAAATAACTGCAAGATTAATTTAATTATAATATATTATATAAAACTATATAAATTAGTTATATATGAAATATAGAAGGCTCTAGTAATAATATTTTAAAAATAAACTATATAAAATAAAATAAATGTTTTAAAAAATATAAATAAGTATTTGGAACTTTAAGATATAGCAATCTAGTAAAGTATACAAGTTGTCAACTTTTAAATAACAAATCTAAAGTTAAAATTCTATAGATACCAAATTTTGAAAATTATATTTGTATTACAATAACTATCTCTATCGATTAGTTAGATTAATATATCTATAAATTTCAATTACATTGTCTTGAATAAGAGCTTGAACATTTATAAAAATATAACATTATATATATAAAAGAATATTATAATCAGTAATGTATAAAACTTCAGTATAAACTTATAATAAAACTGTTAGGTATAAAAAATAAAAAAACTAAGAAATTAGAAGCCTACTTGAAAATTCCGAATAAAGTGATAGTACAAACTTTTGACAGTGTTGTTTGACTAATAAAAACTTATAAAATACCTTTAGTAAAAACAGACAAATAAACTAGAAGATAAGATGTATAAAAGAACATATAACTAATTAGACTGCTAGAATCATTAAAAAAAAAGAATACTAAGATATACTATACCAAACTATCTAAATTGAAAGTCTGAGAAGTTTTGTCAATTCTTAATTATAATTAGTAAAGAATAATAGAGATGATGTTGAAAAGATGAGTATTAAAATTTAGGTGAATCTTACAAAAATATAGCAGTTTAATAATTAGTCCTAACTGCAAATGCTAGTTTAGACCAAAATAATACTAGGTTAACTGTAAGTATGAAATACAGAAGGTTCTAGTAAGTTTAATACAAACTTAAATATAACTTAGTAATTATAACATATTTTTATCAGTTTACTAAAATTATTAATAAGATAAGAATCAAAATATTTAAATAAAGAATCAACAGATGAGTTCTAAGTATAATAACTATTGTAAAACCTTTGAACAAACTATTTAAATTAAACAATAACTAAAGTTATATAAATAACTCATTGTATACTTTTTTTTATAATTGCTAGCCAATATATACTATCAATAAAATTATGGATTGCAAGTACTCATTTTAATATTAAAAATATAATATATTTAGAACTTCTTAACTAACATATATATTAAAAATATTTTAATAATACAGTAAAAATTACAATACAAAATGTTTAAAAAAGCAATTCTTATAGTTTAATTGCAAGTATAACAGCTATTGCAAAACTTATACAGGCTAACTACTTAAATTAGACACCTGTGTGATTAGTTATACTTTCTAATATAAAATTACTCCTTTAAGATTTTGGCTGTAAATCTTTTGTTATTTAATATTAAATAAAAAGCTCTAATCTTAAAAAAACCAATTTAAAAAATAAATAAATAACTAAGATAAATTACTTTCAAAAATCTTACTTGTTTTTATTAATTGCTATTTATTATATATAATGCTTTGTAATAGACCTTTTCTTACTTTTATCTGAAGATCTTAAAGTTTTAATTACTTTTATTTATTTTTCTTCTACATTGTATTTATTTAAAATAATGCTTTAATAAATTATTTTAAATAAATACAACAATAAAAAAAATCCAAATAAAAAATATATTATTTAATAAAAAAAAGATTTTATAGTTAATAAAAAATCAAATGATTTTAAAATTTGAAAAGAAATATAAAAGATTATTAATCATGTAATATCAGATTTTTTATGTCAACCAATTTATTATTACTATCACTAACACGAAGAAAAAAATCTATGATCATTAGAGTTTGCATGATAATAATAATACTGGCCATATTTTGTAAAGCCAATACGTTATATATAACGTGATGACAAAACTTCCGTAACTTCATAAAGTAATTTACAAGGTTGCTAGTTGGTCATCTCACATTTCGCACAAATTCATATACGCGAAATGTAGGCTAGTCTAGAGATGCTGTAAAATTAATTTCATTAACTTTCATTAATTCAACGCCAATTTTACTATTCTAATTTAAGGCTAAGTGGGAACATCTTTAGAACACATTGATAAACTTATTTTTTACATACTTAGGGTTAGTATATTAGCATATTCACAATTTCATGACATTAAAAAATATCAGGCACACAATATTTGATATTCACAGCATAGAACTTGCTTTTTATTAAACGTTAAAAAAAAACGAACGATGAACTTTTAAATATAATCTACCTGAGAAAATAAAAAATCATCCACCGAAAAGTCAAAAAAAAAAAGTAAGACTATGACTATGAAAATTCCCAAACTTTTAATCTACATAATCTAGGAATGAAATTGACGTTTCCAAAAATCAACTACGTAAATTTTTAGGTCATTAAATTATAAAAATACAAAAATGAATACAAAGCCCAAGAATTATAAAAATAATAAGAAATAAAGAATGATATTAAATTTTAATTAGAATCGAAGACCCAGGAATGAGGAGGGATATATCAAGATCTTGTATGATGAGCAAGAGGAATACGTTAGAATGAAAGAATCTCGAGGTCTCGTATTGCGAGCGTAGAGGAAATACTTTAGAGTAGAAGAATCTTGAACGTTTAGTTTACATAATGGAACAATCGTTAACGGCACTTCCATGAGGAGGGTCTTCAGTAGCAGGGGCACCAGGCCTAGTAATGGTGTACATTATAGAACATTGGTTAACTGGATCACCACCAGGTTTTTCAACGGTATAGACAGTTGGATTCATTTTTGTAAAGATTGTAGGTTTGGAGATTATGTTTTTAAAAGTTTGGAATTTTATAGATTTTATTTCTTCTTTCTTGGGAGGGAATTGGATTTTTTGTTGAGATTTGAGAGGTCGCAAATGGGAGGTATTTATAACAAAATACACATACGGTAGATAATAATTATATAGTTGATCACAAGTTTAATAATATTCTGGGAACATATTGTACGAAGAGAAAAGGTTTATTATTAAGCTGGCAATAACTTTGCATTATGAAATGACACAATAAGAAATTGTTTTTTATTGAACAATAATCGTATTGACTCAAAACTGTGCTAATTAAGAGCATGATTCTTTGGAAATATTAAATTACACCAAGGTAACGTTAACTTCTGTAAGATTATGTTAAATGCATATTAATATGACGTATCTAACAATATGCGGCATTTGCCATTCTTTTCTCCTTTCATTATTTTTTTTCACAAAGAATTTAAGACAAGTTAACAGCCCTAATTCACATGGTTTTACTAGTATATTGCGAGTTTCATCTTATAATGTTCATTATATTAACCTACGTGCACTAACTTGGAGATAAAGTGAAAAATATTATAAAGTCAAGTGAATTAAGGTCAATACATCAACACAACATTATTTCGTGCGTTAATATTGTCTCATATTCAGAGATTAACAGACAGGAACATTTTTCCGATCTCAGATGAAAGGAGGTTACATTATGTATGATATTTGATTACGATCATAAGTAGCACCTTTGTTGGCCAGGTACGTATGCAATCGATAGTGCTTTATCGGTGGAATGTCAAAACGCGCAACTAAAATTACTTGAAACAAGAACAATAGTACAGTAGTATTATTCAACTGGTATTATTGCAACATTACGATCGGCGGTATAACAATTGTTACGTATGTAGCATTTATTAATTTACTAATATAGAAATGACAAATGCGCATACTTATGCTTAATCATAATAGGTCACATAATTAACATCCTAGTGCAACATAATTAGATTCATTGTTATTTATTTTAGAATTATATCGATATCATGTGATCTGGATTAACTTCTTTTGTACGACTCGAACAAGAACTAAAGCAGTAAATATTGTATTGTATTGGTCCGAAGAATCCGCAGTCAGATTATGATGGCAAATTTTATTGTTTACTCGATAATTGTCATAATGTATCATGCTTTACATTGAAATTCCTGGTTAAAGATAAACAAAAGCCTGCATAGAAAATTCTTGATACAATGGTAACCTTTAAAGTAGATTAAGGCTAGAGTGGTTCCAAATGGCAAATTACACAACTGACAATTTGTATTAATGCATTAAGGCAAGGTTAAACATCCTTCTTAGTATTTGACATAATTTGCTTGACACGAAAATTAATATTTTATTAATGACAGTGTTGTTGAGCGATTTGTTCGCTGATAATTATCGCTTTCTTTTATTATGTCAGTTATCACATCACGTAATAAATAACATAATAAAGGGATGTGACTTTTACCAATGAACAACTGTTTAACATTGATTAATTAGAGATATTATTATTAACTTGTTTATAATAATAATGTCTACGTAGTATGATGCGAATCATCAAGATTAATTGAAAATATTATAATTTTCAGCCTCAGAAATTTTTTTTAAAAAAATTGTATCACCTCAATGAATAAGTCCAAATTCGTAAAAAAAAAAGTATTAATTTATAGCCTTATTCGGGATCATAAAATATTGCTTTTTTTTTTTTTTTTTAGCCATTGATCAATGAATTACAATTTTAGATGTCTTTAGACGATAAAATTTCCATTTCCATTATTCGTAACTATTTCAGGAACTGCATGAGGTCAGAATTCTATAACAGAGATAATATTCTACGTAGTAATTCAGAAATTAGAATTCAACCAATCAATCATAGCTATTATACATTTCTTACATGCAGTAATTATGCGATTTTCATATCAGAAGTGAGAGCCAACGAACGAAAATCATTGCAAGTTCAGAATGTTTCAAATTTAGAGAAATGGTATAGAACGGATAGCAATGAGTTTAGAATATCATAAAAACAATGCTTAGCAGGAACAATATTTCGCTACTTGACAATATTATAGATTCATTATAAATAGCTTCGTACCTTACCTTCCTGAAGGTCCATCAAAAATCATTCAAATTTCAAATCTTCAAAAGAAGACTTTACAACAACAAATCTTCAAAGAAAGAAGACTTTACAACAACAGATCTTCAAAGAAAGAAGACTTTACAACAATAGATCTTCAAAGAAAAGACTTTACAACAACAGATCTTCAAAGAAGACTTTACAACAATAAATCTTCAAAGAAAGAAAACTTTACAACGTTCCTTTAATCCTTTAAAATGAATCCAACATTCGTTTCTGTCCCTACCCCTGGATCTACCGAGAAACCGGGTTGTGACGCGATAATCCGTTATAAGGGACCTACACTTAACACCACTGAAAAACCCGATGGCGACCCAGTCAATCAATGTTCTATCATGTAGAAGAATAACGAAATCCATTTCGACTGTTCTTCATGGCTATTTTTTTCTAATTACTCTATCCATCTTAATGGGGACGATAACAATGTCTTTTACTATTTAATACAATATATTTTTTGTCTTCTGTCAGTCAATGTACTTTGTATTTCCTTTAATAAATTATTATATAGGGATTGGAACCGTTTAACCGTTTAAAAATTGCTTCATAGTTCCGGGCAGAATTATGTTGGTCATGGGCCGGGATTATTTTTTTGATGCCGGCCAAATTAAACGGTTAAACGATTAAACGATTAAGTAAAATTTTAGGCGGTTCCAATCCTTATTATTATACAGCATATAGAATATTGTTCGATTTTATTTTTAATAAAGTGATAATTTCCTGCGAAAAAAAAATTAAATAATTAGAGACATCTTGTTGATTACCTATAAAATTTAAAATATAATTAATAATTTCATCTGGATAAAATAAAAATCATGCGTCCATTTGTTCTTTAATGCTGATCACACAAAATTGATGTGCGTATATCCTTGGAAGTCTTTTTTAGCCATAACGATAAACGCGAATATTGACTGTAGTCGAAGGCAGTTACCTTTTTTGAATCCATAAATGTCACCATAAATCACGTCGTATATGAGTATGTGTTATGCACATCCTGATTGTAAAATGTTCATATTTCGCAATACCATAATAATTGATATATAAAATCTCAAATGAATTAATATTGTTCGAATCATGAAAGTTAATCGGAAGAAAAATGTATCATGGCTTGTTTCAGACTTACAAAGGGTTTTGATTTTTTTTTCCATGGCTGGACTTCAAAAAAAAAAAGCTTTTGGAATGATTCATTAATGCGTGATATACATTATCGTACTCATGTCATATTCAGAACCATCACATGATTTTTATTATTTCTTCAAATGTCAATTTTCCGCTGAAAAAGGACTTCAAGCAGTTTCGTAACTGTCAACTCTCGCGCCTAATCCATATCTTATTAGTTACAAGTATAATTGAACAATTTATCTTGTAAAATGCGAATTTTCGCTCAATGTAGAGAATAATATCTATTAATTCAATTATTCCTGAAGCATTTTTCCTAAAATGTAATGCACAAGACAAACTTTAGCATTTGCGGGAGTATCCATAATTTACTTTAAACCAGTATTGTTGAGATTTTAAGGATAATACAAAAAAATAATATCATGTGGCATTACCCTATTTTATACAATCCAGTACTGGTTTAACTTAAATTATGGCTGCCGCCTTGGTAGTTTTGGATTTAGTAGATTCCCAAAGGTTTTTACCGAATTCTACAATTGCGTTGTAACCTAAACTATATTTGGGACTAGTTAAAACTTTCGGCCAAGTCCCAAATTAAACATTATTGATTGGTCAATTACACATGATTTCCCTAATGCTTTATTGCTCTTTTCTAATCTTTTATTGTGCTCTTTCTAATTTGTTATTATATTCTTTCCTAATCTTTATTGTGCTCTTTTTATTGAGTTCTTTTAATAAGTCTTTTATTTTATGACATGAGAGACAGTATCTAGGCAATGTGGTATTATGGTAATATAGCATTATGCTGATACTTAATACTGCTTACAATGTTTACAACAATATGGAAGTACCATGGCCTTGAAAATTATAAATTTACTAGTTTTTTTTTTAAAAAAAACTATTAGCTTCAAAATGTTATTTAATTTTTATTACCATTTTGACTTTTATTATTATTGGAATTAACTTATATCTGCTAGATGTTTGAATAAATACATTTTTGTTCTATCATTTTAAATTTATAGTTTATATATGTAAAATAAAAAATATTATTAATTGCTTAAAGAATATATAATAAAAATTGTAATTTATTTTATTTTTTTAAATTTTATTCAAAAAAATTCTAAATAAAACTATATAAATAAATATAAAACAATTAATATAATTTGATAAAATATATGTCAGCTAACATTTATTTAAGGTTAATAAAAAAAACTATCAAATATATATATATATTATATATATAGTAAAAAATACCTAAAAACATATATAAGAGAAGTGAGGGTATAATGGCGAAGTTAACACTTTCTACTAATTAAATTTATTAAAAATCTTGTTTTTTTATAAAATTTTTTTAAAATTTATATAAATTTGAACTTGCATTATGATTATATTTGATGAAAACAAATTTTAATTTCATGAGGGTAAAATGGCAAATGATATGCAGATTAACAATTATCAAATATACAAGTTTCGAATATGAAAAAATTTAAAACTAGTTATCAATTACTATTACATTTGTTATGTTAATATCATCATTGCTATTTTTTTTACTCAGCTTTTTTTTTCTTTTCTCTTTTTGAGATTCTACTTTTGCTTTTTTTCTTATCTTTTCTAGTTCATGTGTTGCTCACTTCTAGCCAGCAGCATCTTTTTTTCTTTTTACATTTTCAGCTTTTGTTCTGACTAGTTCTTCTGCCTCATTTAACTCCCACAAAGAGGTCTCATTGATAAAAAGTTTGGCAAATAGTAATGTTTTTCTTTTTTTTGTAGGCTGTGAATGAGGTTTGATATTATTAGGTTTTGATTTATTAGTTTGTAAAGAAAAACAAGGAGTAGGGTATTTAAGTGCCAGTTTTAATAAACAGATATCAGAATTTTTAAAAGTTTTCAGCTTTTTATTTATTGTTTCATATTTTCTTTTCAATAACTTATTTTTTTTTTTTAATATTTCAATCTCTTTTTCAAGAAACATAAGATCTGTTTTTAATGAATTTATTCCATGTTGAATAGAATACTGATGAGATATTGAAAAGAATATAATTTCAAGGATTGATAAATTTTCATTAATTTGTTGAAAAGAATGTAATAAAGATAAGAAATTCAGTTGAAGAGAATGAAATGAAGATAAAAAGTTTAGTTGAGAAAAATAAGATGAAGATAAAGAATTAGAATCTATATGTTCCGTTATTAATGAAGGATCAAGATGATCAAAACTAATAGCATTAGAATTAAACAGCCAAATGCTTATATTGCTAAAAGCCTTTCTAATAGCTTTTGGTATATAAGTTACTATAAATAATAGACTAAGAACTCTTGCAAACATGTGCTTAGTTATCACTTCACCTGTATTATTATAAAGTTGATCACAACTTTTGCCATATTCCAGTTTTAGTTTGGCAAAAGGAATCTCAAAAGGTTGAAGAATATGTGTAATGTGTAGTAACAATGCATATAATAGTATCCCATTCTTACTACAATATTTTATACTTGTATAGTTTATGTGGCTTTTATGCCCATCAAGCATAAGCAAAACCAGATGAACAGAGGAAATTGAACTGACAAAATGCTTAATATACATTTGGAAAAGTTTTTCTTACATATATTCAGAATTAATAAAGCCCATAACAGAACCATTTAGGGTACCAGATAACAGACTCAGTATTATGTGAATGCCTTTATAAATGAATAATAGAAGGATAAAATTATTAGTTGTTAAAATAGTTGATGTAATGGAAATGTGGTTATATGCATTTTTATGCAAAATCTTATAAACTTGATGAGCACTTTTTATAAAGTTAAAAATCCATAATAATTAGTAACTAATAATAGATAATTTCTAATTATTTTTAATAATAGGTAATTATTTTTGAATTCAGACTAATATATTATTATATTATATATAAAATTAGTTTAGTTCAATTTATTATTAGGTAAACAGTTGTTAATTTGAAGTGATATTTTTAAACACCAACCTTTTCTCACAAGAACTTTTTAGATTCGAAGAATAATACCAAATTTGGTCTCATCTATATTCCAGATACAGTCTAAAGTAAGTGAATGTTTCTTAATTATCTTTTTTAATTTATCAAAATAGTCTTTTATAATTATCAGATTTGCTCTTTATGCACATGCTTCTGATAATGCTTGAGATGTTTGAAAAGATAAATCTGGATGATTCTTTAAAAACTGATTCTACCAAGCCCTGCTAGGTTCTTTAGTTGTAAAAGGATAGGCATGCCAGTTGCTACATACTATTTCTATAACACAATAGTTTATTTCTGATTTTGATAAACCAAACCCCAATCTTTGCATATTCTTACAATAATTTACTAATTGTTCTTCTTTATGTTTGCTTAGAACTGTCTTAGAACTAGGATGTTTAAGCAACTCATTTTTAACAGCATGTCTAAGTGTTGTCTTAGGAATTCCAAACCTTAGGATAGTTGAATTTATACTGGAGTTTGTGAAGCTTGCAAGTTCTTTAAGGACAGCTTTAATTGCGACATAATAATCTTTATAACTAAGCTTTATTTTTTTTTATTAGACACTTTTTTAGATATGGTCTTGGTTTTTTTTAGTTTGACTTTTAAGTTTATTTTTTTTACATGTTTGGTTTTAGTCTTTTTAATAGTTTTTACTAACATTTTTATTTTAATAGTTAATTGTATTAATGGGTAATACTAGATTTAATTTTTATAAAAAAATAACTGCTTGATGAAAATAATCATGGCTTTATTAATATTTCGAGATTAAAGCTATTGAATTTTGAATTTTTATACCATTTTAAAGTAATAAATTTTTTTTTACAAGATAATAAAAGAAACTATTTTTATTTTATTGGATACAAATGACAAATAAAAGCATTACATTATATTAAACAATTACTATTTTTTAATTTTAATTGCTAAAATAATATAGTAAAAATTATTTGTAAGATACCTTTTCAAATTAACTTTTGTCTTGCTAATTTCTATAGCAATTGTAAATTTAGAATCATGCAAATGGTTTTATAAAAACATTTAAACAATTACGATTTTGGTTTTAATTTTAGTCATTAAAACGATCTAGTAAAAGAAGTATTTAATTATTTACTTTTAATTATAAGACTTCTTTTTAAATTAGACTGTTGACTTTTGTTTTGTTAATTTCTATAAAAAATGTAAATTATAATAATGCACATGCAATTGTCATATAAAAAACAGGAAATAACAACAACTATAGATTCTAAAATAAAATTTACACAATAGCACTTTTTGTTTTAATTTTCTTTTTGAATAAATTTAAGCATACATCAATAATGATAATAATATTTATTAATTTCTATATTTGGAGCTTACATCTTTATACATAAAATTAATTGCTGCTATTTTTTGAATCAAGTTGCTACCTAATTTTGATATATTAATAATTGAATTAAAACAATAAGAATATAAGCACATATTTTTTCAAGAAGAAATATTTAAATATGTAATAAAACAAGTAAGCATTATTAAATATAAGATCATAAACACTATTTATAAATTTGATAGCCTATTTATTGAATTTTTTTGTTATTCTAATAAATCATCTTTAACAAAAAAATCTCAAATGAAAGAAAATGTTTCATCAACTCTACCAGGGCAGCTTTCAAAAATACAGGTCATATGATGGCACCATCTGCTATAGTTGTAGCAGATGAATCAGTACTAGATTTATAATGCTATTGCTATAAAAATTTTGATCCTGTATTGCATATTTGCATATTGTATATATTGAATATAGGTGTATTACTATATGATCTGTATTTTGAAGGCCACTCTGGTAGAGTTTATTTGTTTTGTCATAGTCTAAAATATCCAAGAAATTGATAAGAATTCTTAATATGATATAATCAACTTGGCTCAAGATGATGATATAATCATAATCAACTCATTTCAAGATGATGATATAATTATAATCTATTTACCTCATGATGATGTAATCATAATTGACTTATCTCAAGACAAAATTAATATTATTGTATATTGATTTGTAGCTGTATTTTTTAGTTGTTGCATTTTAGTTAGTCTGTAAAATTCTGATTAATAATATAAAAGTTGACTTTACAAATAGTAGATTATATATAAAACACTTACAATTATACTTGATGCTTAAATCTTAAATGACTGTAGTTTTGTTTGTTCACATTCAAGTTCCAAATCCTGACTAAAATAATACTCAAACTTTATTAATAATCTTTATCTAAATAATAAATAAATTCTTTAAAATTACAGTCAGATCTCTTTAAATATATATATATATGCTCTATATAAATTCTTTTTAAATGCACAGTATATTAATACATTTTGCTTTTTATAAACACATATTTAAAATTTTTTTTTTACTATAGTTCTGAGAAAGTGTATTTATAAAGGTCTAGCTATATATAAAATTTATTAATTATAGTTTTCCTTTAGCAATTAAATTCAATAATTTTTTAGATATAGTTTGTTACACTTATAGAAGAAAACTAGTTTGTTTGACAAAATACAAATCAAAAAGCCTTTGCTGTTAATTTTACATTTTTTCAGGTCTAAATAAGTTAATAATTTATGCTAGTATAGCAAAAAAAAAATCCCAGACATAGTAAAGCAGATAATTTCTAAACTAATTGCTAAGAAAAAAAAAATATTTATGAAGAAAGTTGTAATATGTTTTATTTAATAGATATCAAAAAATTTAATTATGATTGTAGTGTTAAAGAAGAAGAAAAAAAGTTCTAAAATAAACAAGCATGATTTTTTTAATATGAACATGATTATCACTATCTTAATATATAATAATAATATACTGTATATCAATTTTTTTGGCTAATAATTATTTTATATATAGCAGGATTTTTTACTAATTAAATTGAACTTGGTCTACTAAATAAAGTAATTGGAAATATTATTTTTTAAATAATCTCAAATTTTGATGCAACTTGGTTAACTTTTCTTTAATTGAATTTTTCATTTTATGTTTTGGTACAATAGATAAAATTTTTACATCAAGACATATAACATTAAAGTTGATTAAAAAAAAGTTAATCAAATCGTGTCAAAATTTGAAAGTATCTAAAAAATGGTATTTCTAATAATCTTACTTAGTAAATCACTTTGATTTGCTTAGTAAAAAATCATGTTTTCTTGTAATATATTCAATTCACTATAATATTCACATTCACTATAATACCTTTACTTCCCTTAGGCATTAAATTTTTTTTGTTATTTATATAATATAAACCTGGTTTTTTATTGACAAATTTTGTATAACTAAGTTAAGTTTAATTTTATTGGCTAATAAAATATCTATATTTTTATATTAAATGCAAAAAATTATAAATTATATATAATTTTAATTTAATATTACTTCTTTAAAACTAAATAAAAAATACAAATTTTTTGTAAAATTTATATTTAGGTTAAAAATTTATTAATTATGTAAAATTTTTTTTTGCATTGATTTATTTTTAAAAAAATAATAGTTTTATTATAAAAACTATATAATTTTAGATATTCTTTACTGTAATTACAATTTTATATATAATATAAAACTATAAAACATTTTTTAAAACTTTTTTAAAAAAACTTTCTTTATTGATCTTTATAATCAAATTTGAAGCAGGATGAAAATCATAAAAAACACAAAAACTGTCAAAACAAAGTACAGTAGTTAGTTAGAAAAAAAGAAAGTAAATAGAAAATTAGATATAATTTGTTAATATAAACCAAAGCAGTATTATTGTAGTAGTTTATAACTAAAAATATCAAAAAATTTTTGATTTCAAAATATTGTTTTGAGAAAAAATAGCAGAACACAGAAACTCTATATTACAGATTATATATATAATATATAAAATAAGACAAAGTAAACAGTAAACACAATAAAAAATAAATAAACAAATATGCAATCATGCAAATAAACAAACAAATATAGGCACAAAAGATTAATCACATGTTAAGTATATCTAGTATAGTTATAAAATAATACAGAAAAGTGTTATACAGAAAGTTCAACCAGTATCTATAGAAATTAACTAGTATAAGAAACTAGAAAAGTATTGAGGCTTGTTTAATAAATTAGACAAAGTGCAGAAAAAAATATTATAAAGTCATAAATCAAAAATTTTAAGAAAAAATAAGAAATTGATTAAATTTATTAGCATAAAGTTAGTACTAGTCTGTGTATTTAGAAATTTAATAGAATTATATGATTATTGTAAATATGTACAAGTGAGAAATAATAAAAAATTAAAGAAAAATAGCATTCAACAGTTAAATAAGATAAAAGTAGATAAAGAAATATTGTTAGAACAAGAATATAACTGTTTAAACTATAATATTATCTCTTAAATTGTAATATAGACAAATTTTTCTTTGTTAATTTTTTTAAAATTAATTTTTATAATAAAATTTTAACAATTAATTTTAGCAATATACTTTCTAAATAAAAAATATTTTTAAAAACCTACTTTATAAACTTTATTAAGAAACTTTTATAAGTTTATTAAAAAAAATTATAATTAATTAAAGTTTAAGATTGTATAACATTAGAATTTATTATTAAAATAATTTTTAG